CGCACAGGCCCTGGAGGCTCTGCAGTCTTCTTTTCTAAGATCAATATTTATTCTTCACTGGTTTCATAATGAAAATAGATCTTTAAATGCCTCAACTATACAAACATCACCAATGGGCACACATCGCAGACGTGTTGAGGTAAGTACTGCTGCAGGAGCAGGGAGCAGGAGATGGCCGCCTCCTGGGCCCCAAACTGGGGCCTGCTGCTCGCTGGCCACTAGCCAATGCCTCAGGAGCCCAGAGCCAGGCGAGGGCCTCGGGCAGTCCTGAGGGGACAGCGTCTCTTCAGGGCACATGCACTGCCCGAGCCTGCCATGGGATGTCTCTAACCCAGCGGGCCTGTGGGAAAGGCCCCCACATCCTGACAGACTCAGGGGTCCCCCAAATGCACCACTGGCCACTGGTTCCCAGGAGCAGAGGTCCCCATCCATGACGCCGACTGGGAGTCACACTTGTCAGATGGACAGGTTTGTGCAGGGGATCCGGGTCCCTTTCCATCTGATCCGGCCTGCACACACACACCCAAGAGGGGCCACTCGTGCGTTTAAAAAATAAACGTCTATTTGCTTATAAAAGATATATTATCAGCCAGGGGCAGGCAAGGGCAGGGCTAGCGCGAGAGACACCATCTTATCAGAAGGTAGCCCAGGTGCTGGCGCCTCCTGGAAGAGGCTGGTCACCCAACAAAGCTGCTTCTCCTGATGGCCAAGTGGACAGCCCTGGGTGAAAATCCCACGGGCACGGCCTCTGCTGGAGGGAGGCCCTCAGGGCTGGGTCCAGGGAGCCTGGGGCAGCTGCAGCATCATGGAGTTGCCCGCCCCACCCAGTCGTGGCTGCCCCTGGAGTGCCCTCAGAAGAGGCAGGAGCCCCGCAGGCTGCGGGCCTTGCGCAGGTCGGCCGACAGGGAGCAGCTCATTTGCTGGGTGGTGAGTCGGATGCTCTGTGGCCCAGCCAGTCACACAGGCTCCTGGAGCCCAGTCAGCTCATTCCCCGCAGAGACAGGTAGTGGTTGCTGCCAGCAGAAACCAGCCCCCAAGCGGCACAACTTGACCTTGCCAACCCTGTTGCACGACTAAGGCCAGCCCAGCCTGTGTTTGCTCTGCACACAGGGGATCCAGGTCCAGCCCTGGGCAGGCACCTGCACCAGGTCACTGCCCAGGGCTGGGGAAGGGAGGGAGGGCAGAAGAGAAGGGGAGAGGCTGGTAGCTGGGGTCTGACTCTAGCCTGTGGCCTTGAATAGGCCCTTCCCTCCCTCTGCCCAATGGGAATGATACGCCTGGCCCTGTTTGCCAACCACAGGCAGGGCTAGTCTTCAGTCATGAAATGCCTCCAACTCACAGCCATGAAAATCAACTCGATGCCGACTCACAGTGACCCTATAGGGCAGGCTGAACTGCCCCTGGGGTTTCCAAGATTGTAACTTAACCGCCGTAAAGCGTCCTCAACCTTCCTAATGCCCGCAACCCTCTAATACAGTTCCTCATGTTGTGGTGACACCCCCCTCCCAAACATAAAATTATTTTCGTTGCTACATCATCACGGTCATTTTGCTACTGTTATGAATCGGGCGACCCCTGTGAAAGGGTCGTTCGACCCCCAAAGGGGTCTCAGCCCACAGGTTGAGAACGGTTGCTTTACAGGAATAAAAAGCCCTTCTTTCTCCCAAGGAGAGGCACTGGTAGTCTCAAACTACTTACCTTGTGGTTAGCAGCCTCATGTGTAACTACCAGGCCAGCATGGCGCCAGGGCGGTTTGGCCTCAGGCTCCTCCACCCGGTTCTTGCCCAGGAAGGGGCCTGTCTTCAGGCACAGAGGCCAGAGGTCCCCACGGCTTGGCTTGTGGCTGGTCCCAGCAGGCTTGGCTTGCTCGGGCCCTGCTGGTGGAGACTGCCACTGCTGTTGCTCACGCCCTGCCTTACCCACACGGTCGGTGGCAGGGGCCCAAGTGGGAGGGTAGCTTTGCCCACTAAGCACAACACGACAAGGGGTGGCGGGCCAGCTGTACTGGCTGAATTCCTCTGTACATGTGTAAAGCAGTCCCTGTACCTCCAGCCCCCAGGGGGCTTCCCCGGCCCCAGTCTTCTGCCCTACCCAGCAACCACGCCCTTCCACTATGCTCCTTGTCACCCATGGAGGCCCTTGCCGAATGTCCCCGAGTGTGTGTGTTTAAAGCGACAGGTGGGCATATGAACGTGTGGCCCTGGGTCCAATAAAAGACTGCGAGCCCGGGAGAAAGAGAACTTGAACTTGACCAAGCCAAAGGAAGGCTGTGGGTCCCTTCCATTTGTGGCAGGAATCCCCAGTGGGTCCCATGGTGGATGCGCCCGGCTCTCTGGAAGTACCTGGGAAGGAAGGCCCGGTGATAGGCTTTCAAAAGAGAAGATCCGGCGTGGGAGCCTTAAGGAGCCTCCTTCTACTCGGTCCCCTTGGGTGACTGTGAGCTAGAGAGTGAACCTGACAGCTACTGACCCACTAGCACAGGAACAACTATGGAAGATAGATTGATCCAGTGAACATATAAGACGGTCAGCATACTATCATACTAAGTGCTTAAATCACATGGATAACGATTTGGCCCTATCAGGTAGAAAGGATTCCAAGTCAGTCCAGTGGAGTCACTCCCTGGCTACCATGTAAAGCACCTACTGTGTGCTACCACTGTCCAAGGGGTAGGGCTATGCTGGTAAAGAGAGGCAAGCTCCTTGCTCGCGGGCAGGGGACGGGACAGCACAGACAGCATTTCTTGTAGTAGACATTGGAAGTAACACATTTGCTGGCAACTGACATTCAACTTAGATGCCGCCTACTGTGGGAAAAGTATCCCCACACATTTCCTCTTCCAGCCATGTCCGCTGGACTGAGTGTATGTCCCCACCCGCAGCCAGCTGGGAATGCTCCAAGGTCCCATCAGCATTTGCCCACGTTCCTGCACAAGTCTGGGCTCAGGAATTGATGGGAACATCAGGCTGCCCCGTGGGTGATTCCTCCATTGAAGTCCAAGGACGGACCCCACCCCTCATCCACCCTGGCCTCGAATCAGACACGTGTAACCCCTTCAACCTCAGGGCTCCGCTTTAGACCCGGCCTTGAAGAGGTTCCCTGCAGCTGGCCTCAGGGAAATGAAGCGCTGTTTCGTACAAAGCATTTCCCAAGTGTTCATGGGATTGCCTCACATTCCTGGCACTGCCCTGGCTGGGTCTCGGGTGACCCGCCCACTGCTTGCAATAAAGGTCAGTGAGCCCTCAGGCCACCAGTCTGGCTGACTCCAGGTCCCCATCTCCAGGCATGGCGCTGCCTTGGGCCCTCACTGTCCTGAGCCTCCTCCCTCTGCTGGCCACCCAGGACCCAGAATGCGCCATCCTGAAGCCAGCCCCTATCACCAACGCCACCCTGGAGCAGGTGAGCACAAGACCGCCTAGCCCCTCACCATGCCAGGGCCCTGAACACCCTGCTCCGGCATGCCGCCCTTTCTTCCTGGGTGCGGGGGTGAAACTCTGAGAAGTTGGGCAGCCTTCAAGGTACCTTGGCAGGGCACTTATGTGCTGGCACTGGGCGGATCTGCGAAATGGGAGTGAGAGATTCATGGTGTCTGCCCTCACCCCCACCCAGCTGATCATTGAGGATTTGGGCCCAAGCAGCCCCTGCCCCCCTTAACCAACTCTTGGCTTTCCCCCCCAGCTCTCTGGCAAATGGTTCTTCCTCGCCTCTGCCTTCCGCAACCCCATGTACAAGGAGGCAATTAAAACAATCCAGGCATCCTTCTTTTTCCTGAGCCCCAACGTGACGACAGACGAGATCCTTCTCAGACAGTACCAAACCATGTGAGACAGACCCCACCCCCCCCACCACCCCCCGCAACGCATGCCAGCCATCCCCACAGGCACTAACTCCAGCTTCCACTCACAGCAATTCCCCTGGGGCCCCGCCCTCTGCCTGCCCATCCTTGGGTGGGAGGGCCAGCTCTGGCCCCTTGGGGACTGGGATGGGGGATGCTGTCTCCCTCTTGACCATCTCCCTCTCCCGGTGTCTTGACTGTAGTCGGGGTCAGTGCATCTATAACTCCACCAGCCTGTGGGTTCAGCGAGAGAACAGGACCCTCTCCAGACTAGGTAAGGGTTCACTCTCAGACTGAGGCTCCCAAATCAGGTGGGCTGGCACAGCCTCCATCAGGAGGACTGGGACTGAGGGCCCTGGAGGCCCAGGGATAATCCTCACCTTGTAGCACCATGTCCTGGTGCTCTGCCCGCACACGGCATCCATTATAGTAAGACCTGCCGGCTCGGTGGCTTCTTCCTGTGTGCCGTGTGCCGGGCGCTGCAGAAGTGCTTCTTGAAAATCAACTCGGTGATACGGACAACTCAAAGCCGGGAAGACAATCATGCCCAGGTCACAGAGGAGGATACTGGGGTGGGGGTGGGGCACAGACAAGTCATTTCTCTGAGGCCACACAGCTTGTCATTAGAACTAGCACTCAACTCAAGGCTGGCTCCAGGCCCGC